CTGCATTTCTGTGATAAAGAAAACACAGTTTTCGAAAAAAAAATCTAGAAAATTAATACTAGCAGTGAACTGTATAGAGGACTTCTGTTCGCGATGTCAAGAGGACTTCAAATGAGGCAGCCCTTCTATCTGTCATTTGTTGAACAAGTCACCCATCGCTGACAGTGCATTTTATCGCTTTACAATTGATGTTGATATGATATATTGAATATTTTAATATAATGTTACATAACAAGATTAATATTTTTATTAGAATGACCCGACTAAAGAAGTATTAATGGACACTTGGTCCACACAGCAATAGAATCTCTCTGTGGGATGGAATAGCATACAATAAGACATCATTATTATTATTATTATTATTATTATTATTATTATTATTATTATTATTATTATTATTATTATTATTATTATTATTATTATTATTATTATTATTATTATTATTATTATTATTATTATTATTATTTATTATTATTATTATTATTATTATTATTATTATCTATAATTATTATTACTTATTGATTATTATTCACCATTGATTCATTATTTTTATCATTATTGTTAGACGTTGAAATCAATACAAAATAATAATAGTCTTTGTCAGAGCAAGGCCTTTGCCAGATGGATGCAGCGTTTTTGCAAAGCACGAGCTCCATCACCCCCCCTTGGTAATGGTGCCTCTATCTGGCACGACCAAGCTCCCTACTCCCGTCCACCCTTCCCGCTCTCTCCCTTGCTCCATCTTACTTACCGTCATCCTGAGTACCCCAACTTCCAACAACTCTTTCGGAGTCGTTTTTCAGAAATTTTTACGGCCGTCTTCCATGTTTTTCTCAAGAATCCCGTCGACTTGACTGGAAGGCTTGAAACCACGTGAAAAACGCCAAAAACGTCAGGGCAAGTTGGAGAGCAATCCGTTTCCTAAAAGAAATTAGTGATCGCCTTCCCTCTCTCCAGCGACTAAATACAATCCTCCCTTGGAATCCCCAGTTTAGAACGGACGTTGGCCTGAGGTCCGAGAAATGAAGTATCGTGCTGCTTTTGTGTGGAGTTTTCCAATTTCGTCTCTTCGCGTCCTTTCTCAGCAAACTAGCATTCTTTCCAAAGACTAGCTGGTTTTTTTGCGATTTTTTTGATGATACAGTTAAAAAAATTGTGCCAAATAAAAGAAAGAAACACTCACGATATGAAATTCGGCCATCACGTGTCTGCTGTACGGATTCGTGGACGATACAGTGATTCGCCGTAATAAGCGTCTGTATATTGCTATGATTTCGGCTATGCCCGCGGCATATTCAACTATACCGCTACTTATTCACTAAGCCGTCGACTTCGATACAGTGCGACTCGAACGAAATCGATAGTCATCTTGTAATAAAAATAAAAAAAGTTGTTAAAAAAAGAGAATTGAAAAGAAATAACAACGAAAGAAATGAAAGAATTAACGAACCTCATTGTTGACGGTGTTTAGAGGTCAGATATCTTTGAATCTACACTGCAATAGGATTGGGATTGAATGAAGCCTTCTAAGTGTGTTGATGCTCGGCGTAATAAGCCTGCGCCAAAAAAATTCTATGTTCAATATCTATACGAAAAAGGCTTGGATCTTGGTAAGAAAATCCGTGAATTGTTCGACAAGTACAGTAAATACTGTGTACGCGATAACGGGCTTGGTTTCGGTTGTAAAAGGGACGTTTTTGCACTTCTCCCGCTCCTTTTCCTGCTGCATGCTTCGCGTTGAACTACAGCGTCGTCACTCTTCATAAATCTTCAGAAGCTTGCGAAATGGGTACGAAGAGAGTCCTTCTTTGACACAAATTTGACAGCGTTTAGCAAGACGGCTTGTGCAAGCTGTGCTGAGTACTATTGCCTCCGTCCCACCGATGCCGAAAACTACGCCGGAAACGGTAGCATATGGATCGCTTGAGTCACTGGTGGATCGTGTCTTTCGCGTGTAGTGTTTAGCAATAGGCAGACCAATTTCAACTGCTATTGTCGTTGCTCGAAAGGACGAGAATCTCTTCTGGGAATACAATCTCAGCGACGGCTATGTCAAGAAAATCCAATGGACTCAAAATGTTGGCCTGTATTTCAACGGCGGATAGAAAAGGCCTCACCGGTATTTACTCTCTGAAAATTTTCGGAAACTTCGGGCTTCGGAAGGGGGCATCGGAGCGAGGCTGGTAGGCGGAGTGGCACATTTCGCCAATTCATGGGCGCTATTTCACTCGTTGTCACAAATGATTTTACAGAGTAGGTTCTCTACAAGAGTTGGCCCGTGGTCTCTACAAGCTTTGGCTGCTATCACTCCATGGCTTCACAAGATTTCACAAGTTTCCACTTGGTGGTTCGGCACGTCGATTGAAAGTAGCAGAAATGCAAAATCTCTCCACCCCCCAAGTCAATGCGCCATTTTCTTTTGAAGTGAGCGGATGCAATTCTTTCATCAGAAACAGCACGATCTCGTTGCAAAACTCTTCATACTAATCCGCTATCGAATGAATACAATGCGGACAGTTCTGCGTGCACCCCGAGATTTTTTTATTGCTAAAATTTTTATAAATCTCAAGTATTCCCTTCGGTTCGTCTTTGTACACTATGTTTTGGCCACATTAACATATAGCAGTTACGCGCTCGAGTATTCGACAACCGGGTTCGCAACATCGGAGGGCAGTGCTGAAGTCGACATTGCGTTCACGGTAATTCTCAGAAGGGGTGGACTCTCTTCCGAACCAGATCGCGGCCCAGTCAAGTATAGGATGGTTAACTAACAAGGATACGACTCGAAGATCCCCGGCGCAGAGGGTACGTGTTTTTTGTGGAGAGGATGATATCGTAATGTCGGTTTTTCTCCTGTTCAAGACTTTCAGTGTGGCTATCAAATGGGCCCCCCCCTTTCCGTCCCCGTCAGCGGCTAGTTTGTTTTGTTGAAGAAAAAAAACGTGCAGATATTGCTGCAGAAAAAACTCAGAAAATCTGGTTTAGGAATTACGAGGAAAAATTAAGAAGAAGATATGTAGGACAGGTGTCGGAATCGGGATCTCACCAAGTAGAAAATTCAACGGGTTTTTCAATGTTCCGAATTTTTTCTAGGCCAGAACGTGCCGATTAAGTAAGATTGGAGATCAATCCTTCCGCATTTGAACGGATTCTATTGGCAACGAAGTCTTTATAACCAATGGGCCTTCATGGTGGTATTTTTTGACAGGGAAGGCAGGCAAGCGATGGGAGAACGCTCATAAACTTCTGAAACTCATCAAAATTCTCAGATCCGGTGATAGACCATCCTACTTTGATAAACCATCGATGGGTAGTCATGTGGCAGACCAAAGGTGGCTCAACATCATGATGGCCACGCAGTACTGAATAACGGAGTATAGTAGAAGTATAGCTAGGGTACTCTGTAGAGAAGGAGACTGAGTGAGATTCGGGTATTATGACAAACGATGAATAGTAATTTGCCGCGCCAGTGGGCGTCGCGTGTCGACGTCGCGCTGCTACATGGCAAATCGGTTTTAGGTCGATATCGGTCCGAGAAAATGGCAACAATGTGCTGCCTAAAATAGACATAAGTGTTTATCATGTCTTTGTCTACACGAAAACACCGATTGCTTTAACAGGAGAGCAGAGCTAGTCAAATCAATAAAGACGTTTCGCGCCGTTGCGTGCGCGTCGAGAAGGGCAATCTTTACGATTCGTTGCTCGCCTCATCGTGGCTACACACGAAGGCGTTCCGTGGCTCAACCACCTATGGCAACACGGCGAAACTTATAATGTAGATCGCTGCGGAACAGTTGAAGCGTCGTCAGTTGCGGGCTGGTTATGGCGGCCGGTGCCAAACTCATACCCGCGTTGACCTGATATGTTGAAGCGGGCAGCTGAGTAATACCGTTATCATATCCTCGTTTCGTTTTATCGTTTCTCTACCTTTGTGGCGCTATGCGTGCTTCAAAGGAGCACGAGAACGGCTTGACGATTGTGACACACTCATATTTGCCTGACAACGCCCAATTCGCTCGCAGCGAAACTGCGAGTGTATGTCATCATTATCACTAGAGACCTTAATGCGAGCTCTTATGGTTTGAGCAAGAGTCAAAGTATATTCTGTCTCTAGCAGACTATCACTAACCAAGCACTAGGTAGCCCCACCTAATACATAGCTCCAGTTAAAAACATTGGCAGAGGTCTATTCGATCTTTGCCTGTTACGTTCCCTGTAGAATCGTACAAGCAGGAAGCCAAACCTTGCAAGTTATTAGTGGTAAAACACGTTTCGACTGCGGCGAGTTAAAATACCTCTGCTTGAAACCCCGCACTGGGTAGATGATCGCGTTGATGAAAAATTCGAGCAGTCTCAGGATATCTGCCAACCTCCCTTTCACCTCGTTCCTTTTTCTTCTCCTTCCTTCCTTCCTTCCTTACTTTTCTCCTCGTAAGTCGTGGGACAGAGGACTTGCTCGATTGAAAAAACACACCCGGAAGTATCCAGTGCATCCTGTTTCTGGGCACAAGCTTCTACAACTCCTCTTAGAAGACAGAGTCGTGGAAGGGACCAGCAATCCACTAGTCGGTCGGAGGTATATGCTGCTTTCAGGGGGGCGGGGGGCGGTGACACTATAGTGACCTGCAAACCCAAAACAAGAAAGAGCATCTTCGTGGAATTCCCCTTCGCGAGATGAGTTCATCTTCAGACTACATAACGCAAAGTAAAGGACCAAACTACTCCATATGTATACAAACAACAAAATTGAAATAACTTTATGAAATTCCAGGTCAAACATCTCCGCATGAAAAAAATTTGTTTCGATCAAGTGATAAATCGTAAATCCAATTATTTCTAGCAAATTCTTTCCGAAACAAAACAGAATAGTTCACTACGAGCTTAGTACACCAGAAAAAAAACAAGACGGAAAATTGCAACGAAGGGTAACAAAGGGGGAAAAACAGTTCAAACCATACCAAAAACAACTAGCCATTAAAATACCACCGAATATCTAGCATTTAGAAACGCGACTTTTGCGACTCTCGGCGCCTTTGTGATGTACCGCTTTGGGCAGCAGTCGCTCCAGTCACACCCCAGGCCCGTTTGCTGTGGCTGTCTGACTGACCCGCACGTCGGTCACCCTGAAAATAATAACATATAACGGTATTTAAGGCAGGTCGACTTGGAAGGGACATTTCGCATTCCGCTAGTTTTTTTCTGTTACTTAGTTCCTTTCAGCTTATACAATTCACTTTAGTGAGACCTGTAGCGTATTGTCAATGGTAAAGGAGCTCCTGCTATTGCATCTCTACTGCGGTTACACTCCTAACCTGTGAACAGGATATTTTACACATACCTGATATGCACCTCCGCGATCACCTTTCTGTTTATCACCTTGACGATCACTACGACCAGGGAAACCATTGGCCGGGGCCGGCATAACCAGCCCTTCCTGTACGAGGCTCCAAAATCTGAAAATGAGGATTCGTAGATCCTTATTCAAACAAAGTTTCACATATTAGGCCGCGTTCAGACTTCGCGATGACGTTGTAAGGCGCGTCGACGCGCTACAGTTGCTACGGCACTCCACTCTTATGTACTCGAACGCAGCCAGGCGAGAATCGATTGCCGCGGACGGAGTCTGGACGGCTTATGTATTGAGAGAGTGAGGGGGAAGAGGAAAGCAAACGCTGCCTTCACACAAACGGTGCTCTCCCAGGGCCCTAGCGACCAGAGCCGATCGATTCGAAAACTGCGTAATTAGGCAGCGCGTACTCTTCTGTTCCCCCACCCTCTCCCAATTCAAAAGCGGCCGAAGCCGACCCATTCTCGTCTGCGGCTGCGTTCAGGTCTATAGGAGCGCTGCAGTTACAGGATGTCGAGGCACGTCATCGCCGAGCCTGTACGCTGCCTTATTAGTAGCTACCGTACCTGTTCATTATTGTCCGCTAATTGCTGTAACTTGTCAGTAAAGTTCAAAGCGATCATCTGAAGGCGTGATGGCTCTACACGGTGCATCATAAGACAGTCGGTTGGTTCATCAAGTGTAGCTGACAGTTCTTCTTGAATGATCATCTTGCTGCAACAAACATAATCAGTTCAGGGGCAGAAAATCAAAACGTATTATTAAATTTTGAAATTACGGGATAGTTTAGGGATAGGCGGCGCAGCTTATCACGAGGGCGACCCGGGAGTCAAATTCGGAATCGACAGCTCCCCGGAACAGCTAAGTCTACTATTCCTCAGAGTCGGTAAACTGGTACAGGACCTGCTGGGAGATCAAAACAACTCTCTTGCACAGCGGCCGGCTCCGCGAATCGTTATGTGGGCCCAGTCGCACTCAAACATCACTGCTGTGTTGAAAGGAAGAGATAAGCGCAGCATATTCCAACAAAAGCCGAAGAACACCGAATTTAGCTTTTTGAAGTCGTTTTGTTAGATAACTGCTGTTTTAACGCCGCAGTACGCGTTCCGAATGTTATCACAAGAATGCTGAGTTGTGGGCAAAAGTCGTGCCCCAGGCGGGAGTCGAACCCGCACCTCACGCTTTCCGGGCGAGTGCGCTATCCGTTACGTAACGAGGGTGAGGTGCGGGTTCGACTCCCGCTGGGGCACGACTTTTGTCCACAACTCAGCATTCTTGTGATAATGATAAAATAATATGTGAATTTTAGCCTTTTTTTCAAATTTCAATATACGAGAAAACATAAAACCACTGAATCTGAAAGCCTTTACACTCACCTGATAACACTGTGCACTTGCTTCTTGTCCAGTTCGAATAAGGTGGCAAGCTTTTCCAGTGAAACTGTTGTATAGACGGTTGAATACATCAGCAAGTACGTTCTGAAAGAGAAACCCAATTCAATTACTAACCAGCTGAGGTAAAGAGAAGTACGTCGCGGTGTGAACATTAAGAATGCAGGCGCTGTTCAGGCTTGCAAGGGGCATTTTGCACTTTGGCTAGTTCGCATTAACTAACAGTCCCTTACCTGTAAATTCCGTATAAAACTGCGAAACGGCGGCCATTTTGATTACAGAAACTTACAAACCTTCACAAGGAGGCATCCACAAGCTTCAGTGAGTACAATTTGATGCCCCACCAAGCCGAACAGCGCCGAAAGCAACAACACTACACAAACTAACCTCAACGATTCTGTCTGAATACGCTTGACCACCATTTCTTTTACCCTTTCTGAGTTACGGAACAAATTCCATACCTGCAATTTTCGTCACATTGTGAATAGTACAACGACGTTATAACATCTAAAGTAGGTTAGAGGTCAGGTCGTAGGCTGAGGGATCCCCAGAGGGTGGTGTACTCCGCTCGCGTAGGAGGAGGGGGGGTGGTCGTATTTGTTTAATAGTTTTTAATAGCTGATTTTTCCTGTCCACGCGTGATGTCGACAACGTTGTGAGACTTTCAAGGTGGAGGGGTGTATTGGCTCCTCGCTGACTGATCAAAGGAAAAGCTGTCGGTCCAAGGGTAATTGTACGTGCAAGAGGAGGCTATCCGCGATTGTTTCCCCTCTGACAAGTACTAGTTACTTCTTAGCCTCGCTCAACGGCAAATTTCTCGGGAAAAATGCGGAAAACTTCAAAAATTTTGAGGAAAAACAGAAAAAAATAGTAGGGAAACTGATATAACTCAGGTGGGAAGGGGAAGTTTTTTTTGCACCAGAGAAGAGTGTTTGGTGTGGGGATCGCATTTTGCAAAATTTTCCCCCCGCCAGGACGTGAACTGGTAGGCAAACTGCAAAGTAATTACGCAATCACCAGTAATCACAGTAATGTAATTATCAAGTAAAACATCACAATAACCTTCTGATTCATCTTATCGTTGACTATATAATCGCGACATTTCTTCCAGTCACCAGCCAACATTGCACGAGAAGCAGCCACAACATGTTCTCGAGTGTTTTCGGGCGGACCAATCAGTGACGACTTGAAAACGAATTAATCAACACACTCTGAATTACAGCAAAAAAGAAAGTTACACCAGGAAAATAGATTCTCAACGTAGTAAGTGATGGTAAGAGTAAAGGGATATTGTAACAGAACCTTCAGTAGTAGAAATGCAAAAAAAGTTAAGCATATAGGAGCAAAATCACTCTGATCTATGACTGACGGGAGCGAAAAGCCGAAACGTAGTCCGAGTAAGTTGTATCATCTTGGCTGTGACTACAAGATGACATTCAAAAAGAAGCTTGTATTCGCTGGGTTGATTTCGGAGAGCGAACATAGGTCGGAGGGTCTTAGTACTACTGATTTTCGAGTTCTAGGGTCTTATCATGAGAAAGGAGACAAAATAAGCGTTACCTTCTCACTCTGCTTTAACTGGTAATGGAAACTTCGACTAAGTAATCGTCGACGCATTTCGAACTCGCAGCTAGCCATATGAGGGAATTTCGAGTAACATAGAGCAAATCAGGTACACGCATTCCATCAGTTCAACATTAATGTGCATATGATAGGGGATCTGCCGTTGGCGCTCCAGTTTCTCCTGAAAAGGAAACGAATCGGAAATGTTCGTTTCAGTTAATGAAAGTATAATGGGATAGTAACCAATAGTATCATCAAATTGTCCGGGTGCATATCCTTAGACATTGTGGCGACGGCGCGCGCTAAATGGTAATTTTTGGCGGCTAGCTTAGGCAGTCAGGGCATGCTCCGCCCTTAGGGAAAACTTTTCTCGAAGTCTGAATTACTCCCGCCCTTCTCCCCAATATTCTCCTTTGGTATAACCCCTTCCCATCCCCATCCTAGCTACCATTTTTCTCAGTTCTCCCCAACTTTCTACCGTTTTTTTTCGAAGATATTCTGAAGTATTTCTCCGGGGAAAGTGCCGTCAAGCGGAAAGGGGTTAATGCAGGTAACTGGAAAAAAAGGAAAGTCGATTTTGGTATTACACGAAAACTAGCCGGTAATCTAAGTGCCTCCTACTTTTGCAAACGAATGTAAATCCTGAGATACTGAGCTTGCTTTGTTAAAGACCTGCACTTTCTGCTGCAGGAACGCTCCTTGGAAGAAGACTAACTCCTACCTGTTCGGCTGTTCTCTCATGCTGCCTCATAGCTACTGCTTGAGCGAGTAATTCTTTGGCTCGTTGTGTATTTTGAATCTCAGACAATCCTTGATGCGCTTCTTTGATGAATCCATGCCGGAATGCACAGAGTCCCAGTTGGCAAATGGTTCGATTGTAAAGGATCTGTAAGAGTTCAATGGAATATTTGCAGTGACCTGAAAGAAGGCCTAGGCCCGAAAGTTATCAGTAAAAAATCATTGAAAGAAGAGCTTTCTTTCTATTTGCAAAACAAAACTCGAAATAACGATGTTCAAGTATCCATCAGTTCAAGAAATTACATATTTCTGAGGCTAAGGAATTATGCGTACCTGCGTATCCGTGTCAGAATGATCCACGATAGCTTGAAGGTGACTCATGAGCATCAGATCCCTTGCACGGTGCCATTCATCATGCAGAGCCAACCAGTACACGTGACAAAGCATGCTCTCTGCCTTAGTCGCTTCTCCTCATCGAAGTGCGTATATTTTCTTGCACAAACGATCCATAATCTCTCCCACAGGTTCGTCTCCTTCGTAGTTGTCTTGATACTATAAATAACAATGTTCAAGAAGACGCAGACTATTCAGACGCTCAGATAATCTTGTTCTCTGAAGGCATATCTCGTGTGCTTTGGTAACACCGTCATTAAAAAAAGCCACCGAAATAGGTTAGCGCGCGTAAACCTAGCCCATATCAAGGCTCCTCTATGAACGGCCACCAATAAAAACAATCTGTACACTCTCCGTGGTCCTTGATATATCATAAGAGGTTGAGGGGCTAGCGCTTTACCTCCAGGGACGCTTTACGCCACCCATAGCTAACGTTCTGGTTGTATTGCGCCCACTAATTCGTGTCGCTGCACTTTGTTAGCGGAAAAGTGCACGAAAACGCTGAGCTCTTTTTTCTACAGCTTCACTTCTGATTGCGGCTGTCTCCACATCATCAGACTAATAGAATTCCATTCAGTAACAAGAAAAAGTTGGCGTAAAAACGCAGCTTCGTTCAAACAAGAAAAAATAACTTCCGAAGTTTCCTTGCAAAATTGGAAGTGTGGTATCTCGACGAACTACTGAACGACTGATGCCGTTTGAACGTGCTCAGTTTTGGCTGCGAGCTCATTTATGAAGTGTCTAGATTACCAAATCGACTGGACATTTGTATCAAAGGCAGTTGCCATCCTAGTTACGAATATGAATTTCATTTTGGCGGTGGCATGATTGAGAAAACTACGGCTTATCTTGCGCTCTGCTAAGGGTGAGCCCAAAAAGAAATCGTAATTGCTTCCACCCCCCCCGCCCCATTAGCGCCAGCGCAAGAATGAATGTTCTGGCCGTAATCATGGTGTTAAATAACCCCAGTATACAAGTTTACAGCCGACTTGGTGGTCTAGGCACTTCCTAAATGGCTCGCCGCCGAAACTGCGGCGTCCAAACAGCAACAGCTCTACTGCATCAAGGCACACCGGGCATGTCGTGCTGTTAAGTATATTTTGTAAAACACGCCCACCTATTCGAAACAGCTCTTGTGTGTATCTCCCACCCCTACCCACATGTTCCTCTTCTCAACTTCAATACCTTCTTTCCCCCAAGAAATGCCGCCGAGCAGGCGGGGAATGGGAGTGATGTAACGCCATGCTGAACCAGAGAAAAAACCGAGAAAGAGAAAGCAAAAATTGAAACATTTTTTGACGAGGTACAGTCATCCCTCCCCCTAGCGATAAATACGACCTTCCTCGCATAGGATTTCCCCAAGTAGGACGTACTCTTAATGCAACATCATCATTCTCAGGTTGTTAACTTAAAGCAACGCCCAAACTCATCTTACGTGAATGGATGTCAACTGGCCATGTGCTTCTTTCATGGAAACTCTCCAAAAGTAAGTCAAATCACTCTCAAGGGAAGCAACTTCTTACTCTGAGCGCTGTTAGCAAAAGTCAACACGTTAGCAGACCCTACGAAGAGCACTCCAATCGTTCTATAACGTTGCAGGCAGCAAAGGGCGGTAATTCGCCATGTAAGTCGTCGTCGTATGGGCAATTATGGTCTGACTAGACCCCAGAGAAACTGCATGTACCCCGACAGTTTCAACGACTCCGGACCTGGTTACCCATCACGCGGTATCGTTGCGCGTATGGTTTCAGGATATCTGCCAGCCGCGTAGACTCGCTTCTTCTTTTTTTCTTCCTCCTTTTCCTTCCTTACTCCTCCCTTCCTAAATTTCACATCTTCAAACATGCTCAGCCAAAACTTGAGATACGAAATTTCTCTGCGATTCTCATCAAGACACACGTCGGTACGTCCACGGAACTCCCAGCGAGGGAGTATTTGGCTCACAGAAATTTTTTGATGATTTTTCTATTTCACGAACCTGTAAAGGCAGGGGGGGGTAATTTGTTTCATTGTTGGCGAGAGGGGTGATGGTCGTTATTCGTCCTTTGGAGAAGAAAGTTACGGCGTTGGAGCTGCGCCTCCGCTCGGACATCAAAATTCTGGGGAGAACGGCATGAAAATTTTCGAAATCCAAGAAGCGTTGAGAAGGTTGGGAAAAATCTAAGAAAGTGGGAGAAGGATGGCGAAGGGGGGGTTGGTATAAAGGAGAGGGAAACTGGGGCGGGTGTCGTATTGCCTACAATTTTTCCCAGCGGTGCAGAACGTGCCTGATTCTCATACGATCATATTCCGATTAACAGAAGCCTGACCGTTTGCTTTCAGTTGATCTTGGGATGTGGCGCTTGCAATAGAAGGGCGGCACGGTGAGCGAAGAGGATGGTTATAGGCCTCCGCCCTTCCAACTCTCGCGAATGTGGCTGTACTTGAGATATTCTCCGATGCCAATGATTCTTCCCAGAGCTTGTTTGGAGGGAAAGACGCAGGCTTCCACATGAGTAACCCATTTGGACGTTTCTCGGTCATAATGACGGGTATGCCCTAGGGTTTTTTATTTATTTATTGACAGCTAATTCTGAGCAGTTTTAGTGACATGTGAGCGCTTACATAACTCAAACTGAGTAATAGAAGCTACGTCACCGTCTGATATAGTAAAGAATGCTGCGTATTCGAGTCATATACACCTTACAACTTCGTCCACGTCGAAGATATCTTCATGAATACGCTCCTGTACGTACTTCTCAGTTCGCTCGATCAAATGTGCACATGTCCTTTTCACCCTTCAGTCTAAAGAACACTAATAAAATATGCACAATAATTGAGCAAAAATAGTAATTACACATCTGAAGCTGTGGGAAAAACCATAAAAAGTTTTGAGTAAGTATGTGCAGACCGCCTGCGAAATACTTGAGAAAAAACACTAAACTTTCAATATAATGCGTTCGAGGATAAAATCTGCGTTCTGAAGAATTTTTCGTCAGTTCACTGTCTAAACGTTGAACCGTCATCAACAGCGATCCCTGGATCTTGTATGGCATGGAATCATCCTGAAACAAATGATAAGAATTAGAAGTAACGTCGAACTTCAAACAGTACCTTCAAGTTCTCCTCTTCCTCGGTGTATTTGACGGAAAGCTTGACTTCTGGATGCTCTATCAAAATATCGAGTAGTTCTGTGACAGCAAGAAGCGTCCTTAATTATGAGCATGTAAATTGCATTTCGCTATACATCTAAGAATAGGGCTTTCATATAACTTGCATAACATGTCACAAATATCTCATCTAATTAAAAAAACAATTTAAGACTAACTTCGTTAGTGGGCACCAGAACACGATCTACGTTGGAAATCCCCAGCGAGGGGTCGTAACTGTTCATTGAAGAGAGGTGAGGGTCTGTTTGCCTTTGGGTTCTGAAGACGGTAGGTAGGACAGGGAATGAGGCAAGGGTCGCACCAAGGGAGAAAATTTCTAGGGCAGACTGTTTATTGCACGAATTTTCCCGAACGAAAGAGACCATCTTGGTTGGAGCTTTAGAGAACACAATATGATCAGGATGGAGGAGGGATGGGAGACACGCAGAGAGCGGTCACCCTCCCCCTCCATACTGACCATACTGTGCTCACTGAAGCTGAGCCCGAGGAAGGAAAGGGGTCACTATCTTGGCGAGAGGGCGAGTTCAGGCGGGCTGCGGCGTGCCCCACCCCTACTTCTTTCTAGCTACATAAACCCCCATAGTGAAGTTACGAAGCTACTAAAGGCACGGCACACCCTTCCGCTTCCGGTAAATCCCCCCTTCCCTTCCCCATCTTACCTGTCGCATTCCAAAATTTCCAATTTTCTAAGCTTTTCCGGAATTTCGCGAGAATTTTTTAGTTTCGCTGTCGAGCGGGGCGCTATATCCCATGTGAACCAGAAAAAAAAACGCGGAAATCAACCTTGAGAATTTTTTCCTAACGCCGCTCTCTACCAAAGGCAAAACCGAGCACTACTCCCCCAACAACGATCAAATAGGACCTCTCCCCTTATAGCGTCCGTGAAACAAGAGAAATCAACTACCGAAGAAAATTTCTCGGACCAAATACAATCCCCTCCCGAAAGCGGCCGAATACTATCCACCGCTGAGAATTCCCAACGTTCGCCGTGGCCTGACTACAGGGCAGGGTGCAAAAACGGTGATACTAGGGGCTAGATTCACTGGGTGCGACTGCGAGACTGCGCTGTACATACTCTGCGCACTGCACGGCCGAGTCAGTGGAGTGGGAAGGATATTTGCCTTGGTGAGATGTTAATAACCAGCTCAATCGCTGCACTGCGCGCCCTCCTTCCCCAGCTACCATACTGTCAAGAGCTAAAGCGTTGCGTGCATTCGAGTGGAAAACTCACTTATTGAAGTTTGCAAATTCCATGAAGTCGCTAATCTTGGTGTTCAGCTCGAAAAGTGACGAAATAATATTGAACAGAATTTTCACGGAAATTCCAACTCCAAGTTTCTTCTGTAAAAACACTTCACTGGTCACTGGCGAAGCCGCATACAAATCTTCAAAACACGAGACAAGGAAACTCTTATTAAGCTGACCTCCTCTGCAATCTTGTACAATTCTTGCAGTAAACGAACATGCTGCTTTCTATTCGTTCCAAGGCGTCCACGTGAAGCCATCACTTCGGTCAACTTACCGATCATTGCCTTAAAATGAAAAAAATTTTTTTTTTCAAATTTGAGCAAACTCAGCACCAATGTTGTCTCGCGCAACCTCAGGAGGAAACTAGTTCGCTCAAAAGTAAGCATGCCAGAAGACTCACTTCATGCGTGACTTCTTGTTTTGGTTCGAATAATTGAACTTGCTTCTCTTTGGTGATTGGCGTCCATTCACCACCGTCATCCTCTTCGTCATCGAACAAGATCAAGTGTAGCCTATAAAGCAAAAGAAAAAAGTATTAACAATAGGAATTGGTGGGTGAGCCACTTGACACGCGTGAAAAGCTGGATGTGCAAGACAGTAGTGGCCACGGAGTGCTATGCAGACTAGAGGGTGCAGAGAAAACAGAACGTTCACACAGTCGACAAGTTCGAGTTGTCCGCAGACCGGACGTACCACCGCGTTCCCCCTGAACTTCGGCAGCGAGCGTGGAGCGTCGCCCCCGTAGCTGTACAGGGGGGGGCAAAAAAGACACTTCGACCGAGTCACATATCAGCAAAGTTTTCGCAGCCCAGACAGAGGACGTGGATACGAGTACCAGGGCGAAAGATACCCAAGATGTTCCTCGAACCAGTGGCGCCTCGCTCTCATCTTCATTACACCCGAAATAACTGGAAGTCATCTCCAGTCGCAGCCTGACTGGAAGAAGACCTTTGGAATTCATGTCACCTCCAAACAGCTGCGAAACTTCTAGTATGGAGTCCCCATGGATAGCTACTGTGCGACACCAGCCCCTGTACCGTCGATTCTGCGAAGACCTCCAACATCGAGCAGCTCCGACAACGTCGCCACGGTCTAGGACATCATCTTCACCGCAGTCGCCAAGGCGCGGGTTGATGGTATGGACCGGACGTACCTGGAATGGAAAGACCGATATTTTCTTCGAGGACCCCGACCTAAAAGTGAGCGCTGGCGGTTATATCGAGCAACTCCAGAAGAATATTCTCCCCACATGTTGTCGCCCGTACCTTCTTAGGAACGTTGTACTGCTACAGGATTGTGTGACACCACATGGAATCGAAAGGGCGTAGGGAAAAAACTCTTGCCTACTTGGAATGGAAGGGCGTTGAGTACCTGAAGAAGATGGAATATCTAAGCAGGTCACCTGAACTGAACCCCCTCAATTACCTGGTTTGGGCGGAGTTCAATAAAGGTGGTCTACAGTGGCGGAGAAATCAACGAACTCAGGTACCGCACGGTCGCGCTGGCAGTCAGAATCTTCTCGGATGGCCTTCGTCCAGAAGGCGTGGCGGAATATTATGCATAGCATTTAATTGATCGCATAGTTTGCGCTCTTTGAATGGGGGTAGAAATGTCCGCATCCAGAATTTACTAAAGTGTCTACTTATTAGCGCTTCGAAAGTCAGGGAAGAAAAGTGTCTTTTTTGGCCCTCGCCCCTGTATATAGTACGAGTTGACGTGGAAGACAGAATCGACGCAACGTCGCTGCTATGTTGACTGGGTACTAGGCGCATGCTGCATATATCACCCGCTTGGATACCTTTTTCATTGCAAATGGGAAGAAACGGTCCATACCGTTAATTAACACCTGGTTAAACCTGTTCTTCTAACACTCACCTTAGGCCTATTCTGATCTCGTTGCTTGCGTTTCTTCTCCTTTTTCGTGTCAGCTGCGCCGTCTTCGTCACCTCGGAACTCCTTTCTTGAAAATATATACTTTGAGCAAGTGTTCAGTGACAGAGTTACGTAAAGCCCATTGTGACTATCACATAATCGGTCCCAAGAGTGAAGAAAATAGTCCCCGAGGCTAACGGACTACAAACATGTAAAGGCGTTCCGATGAAAGTTGATGGCCTTAAAGGGACTGCATTTGTAGCTGTTGAAGTAGCCAGCGGAATGAGCTGCTCCACGAAGCGCCAGTACCAATCGTGCCGAGAAAATCTTCAAGATGGCTACTAATGCTCTAAGCTATCACCGTGACTTTTGAGATTTGCTTAAATAGTTAACACGGGATGGTGATGGCGATTCGAGGGTGGCAGGGTTCAAATATGGATCTGTAGGTGCTAGCTTACTATGCAGTAGAGAAAAAGCAAAAGACACTGCCCAAAACGCCTCAATCAAGACTCGATGGGATTTCCGCAACGCAGAAAAACGCTCGATGTGTGGGTGAAAGAGCATAAGAAATGAAGGCTGAAATGGAAAAAAAAACGAGCTGGATGAGCAGTATGAAGGACGTGCGGTCAGAGCGAACTCACAATCCTCTGGCGCTATCGCCACCCGCTCTCGAGTGGAAAAGTGGTGAACTATCTGCTGTTGCGGACTTGCGCATCATATACGCAAGGGGGGGGGGAGTCCTAGCGGACACAGGGCATGTCGTACGTTCGGGATCCCCAATGAGGGGGATCGTCTTTGGTCGCTGGAGGGAGCACTCAGGTTTGTCTTTAGGGGAAATGTTTCCGGTTGTTGACTTTTCCCAGTCCCCCCTGGACTGCTGTACGGCACTATTTTTCAGGAGGGGGGGG